GCCCAATATGGCACCACGACCAACCAGTCCGCGTTCTCCACCACCAGCCGCTCCTGCGGGACACAGCGCTCGATGTGGACACCTGCAGCCCTGACGCCCCAGGGATGGGCGCTCCCAGGACACAACCAGCTCCCAGGGAAGGGAAGACGCCACGTCCCTCACCTTCCGTTGAGCCTCCTGCTCGGCATACTCCAGCAGCATGGGCACGCCGCGCTGGCTCAGGTGCTGCCGCTGGGTTCGGTCCTCCAGGCGCGCCTCGTTTGGGAGGAAGCTGCTGGCCCACACCTGGGAGGGACACCGGGGCTCAGGGCTGGGTTACCTGTACCCCACATTTGCAGGGGTGCCCCAGCCACGCTCCCCATCTTGCAGGTCCATGCTGCCACCAGGTGGAGAGTCCGACATGTGGCAGCGACAAGGGACAGTAGCCCGGAGGGGAGGGGAGGGGACAGGCATGAGGGAGGGGAACCTCTGTGCAGAGGGCTTTGGGACCAGAGCGGAGGGATTCCCGTTCACATCGCCCGCCTGGGTTTGTTGTTGTAGGGTCGCCCGCAGGGACGAGTGGTTAAGGCAGGCCACGGGTGGGACAGCCTCACCTGGCAGTGGGGGTGCGGGTTGGAGCAGCCCATCATCGCTCCCTTGTTCTCGAAGATCTGCAAAAGATGAGGTACAGCCAGCAGGTCCCAGCCCCAGGGTCCCCGCTGCGGGCTGCCGTAGTGCCCCTAGCACACCAGGAAAGCATCCCACCAGGAAAGTGGGACCTTGCACCCACCTGGAAAGGCTCAGGGGGGCATGAGGTGAGGATGGGGGACCCACACACAGCTGGGAGGGTCCCAGCATTGGGTGCTGCCAGAGCACCCAGTTGCAGCCCTCCACCTCCACCCGAGCCCCCCGTGGCAGGGAGAGAAGAGCAGCCCCCACCAGCCCCGGACCTGCACCCAGGGGTTGCAGGCACCCAGCTCAGCTGCCAGCTTTGCCCATGCATCGATGACGGCCCGGATCTCTGCCAGGGACATGAGGGGCAGCGTCAGGTCCGACCAGGGGTGGAAGCACATCACCTTGCTGTGGAGGAGACACGCAGGGCTGGGGCTGTAGAGCATCCCCAGGGACCCCCACGGCCCTGCCAGGTCACAGTGGGACAGGGATGAGACCCACAAAATGCCCCAAAACAGAGCAGGCGTGCAAAGAACAGGCAGTGCAAGGAGGGGAATGGGCTCAGACCAGCTCCGTCCCACAGATCCTGGCTGACAGCGCAACCCGGACCCCCCAGAGCTGTGGGGGTACTCACCACACACCCCGGGCTGCTGCCGCTTGAAACAGCGGGTGATCGCTGTCACCTGGGAAAGGACAGAGAGTGGGGAGGGAGAGGGTGCCGGGTCAGCACCCATGCCTCTCCAGGCCACCCTGCAGCCCCCTCAGGACCTGAGCCTGGGGGTCCCCGGCAGCCTGCTCTCCTCCCGTAAGTTACCAGGCTCGGGAGCATCGGGCTGCAGTGCAGGGAAGTCATTTGGGAAGACAAAGGTGCCCTCGTACTGGGGGTTCACCTGCCGGGGCAAGAGACAGGATCAGGGGGGGACAGGGGGGGGGGGGGAGCCCAGACACCTGGGCCCTTGGG